TGAAAATTAACCACTGGGGGTTTTTCACAGGAAGGGTGTGTTTTCTTGTTCTCTTTTTCTTTTCTCTGATTTTTCCTTGAGTCAAGAGGTTTTGAGCAATAGTTCTTGAGGCTTTCTTGGCTTCTCTTTTGTTTTTCTTGTTTTTTAGTCGACTCCTTATACCTGACAATATTCATGGGAATGTGTTTTTTTGGGGGTTTTTTTTGTCTTTATTTGTTACAGACAACATAACTAAGGACCATTTTTAAATTGTATCTTCAGGCATTTTTTTTATTAGCAGCCTGTCACAGAAACATATTTTGTGGTTCAATCAGTGAAAATATTGGAAAAACATTTAAGATAAAACAGTTTGAAAGCCACTAAACACTAGTTTAGCACCAAAAAGGTGATTGAAACCTCAGCAGGGTATGAAGTGTGTCCTTACAAATTTAAGTAAATTGGACAAATGTAGAGCAAAAGAAGAAGTGAGAGGCCTAAAACGCTATCAACAGCAGATCACCAGCCACGTCATGAAAAACACATCCTTAAGATATGCTGCCAAGAAGCCACCCTTAAAGTGTTCCCCTACTGGATACCATACAGAACAGTAGACACAGCTAAAATTCTGGGTTAATTCCACTTCATTCCTGACTTGCAAAATCGTGAGAATCACAGTCATGTGAAACATAAAAGGAACCACAACAGTCCATCTGACATTTCTATTTTTATTAATCACGCACCCATAGATGCAAATATACTAATACTGCCCCAATAAGTTACATTTAAATAAAAGACAGTATTCTGTTCATTTCTCCCATGTCACACAACAACAAACCTATAAGGTAACAAATATGCAGTTTAACATGTTTTTTAAAAACCTGATAAATGGCTTCTGCATACATTCGAGCAGCATTCAATGTTTTTTTTAATCTCCTGTAAATATTACAGGATTATCGTCTCCGACTTCATCCAGAGGGAGGATTAACCAACACTGTATAGAAAAATTAAATCACTTCTGTACATTCAGCTTATGACTGGAGGTCAGCCATGAAAAAAAGGAGTATTTCTACAGGTGTAACTGGAGGATTTCTCGACATAAATGGAATATGCAACACACAGCACAGATTACAAACAACCACTGGGAGTTCCCCACTACCTCACTAACCTCACCCTACCCATTACTTTGTTAGATACAACTTGGGAATTAAGGGCCTACATACCCCGGAGACATACACTTAAAATAAATCCTCATCTGATTGTTCCATCCGGATATTGT